AAAAGAGAACGAAAAACAGTGTTGTCGTGGATCAATTGCAGGAAAAAATGTGTGCTAATGACACATGAAGCGTTGACTGCTAGCACAACCGTTCAACAGAATTTTACCATGTTAGAAAAGGACTATGATGAGCGACCACAGTTTATGAAATATGAATATTGCTACGATTTGAGACGAAGTATGTCGATGATGTATTTAAAACAAAAATATTTTGTCGATACAAAATGGGTGAGTGGGTTTTGTACATCACCCTACAGAATATTAAATCGTTTTTATCTCATTTATTCTTATCGGATTCTGCTATTTTTATTGGCAATCATTGACATTATCTACGGTATTGTCAATCAAACACCGATCGCTCAATGGCTAGTCTATCTCACACATTACACACTCATCGCAATATGCCTTGCTATTTTAAATAATTTTATTTTAACAACAATTCTGTATATCAATCTCAAATATCATACTCAGCGTACACCCTGGATATGGTATCAAGTTTACCATAGTATAACAATAACTATTGCCTTGGGAGCAGGGTGCATCGTATTTGTCCTGTTTTGGACACTTATTTTCCCTACTAGCCCCCATATTCACAATGTTAGAACAATTCTCGATCATGGAATACTCTGGTCTCTATTATTCGTCGATATATTTTGTTTCACTCGTTTTCCCATCTATATGATTGATGTTATACCGTTATTTTTCTATGCATTATTTTATGCTATATTAACAGTCATTTTCTACGCCACGAAGATTAAACTATCACGAGAAAGAGTTGGATACGTTTACAGTGCTCTAAATCTGAATAAAGAACCGACACGAGCAGCAATTCTATTAACGATGTTCACGACAATACTACCACCACTTGTCATATTTCTATTTTGGAATATATTTCGGTTAAGAAGGACGACGGATGTTGGATCATCGATGTCGTTGCAATCAAAAGAGACTACAACAAGTGTCGCGTCACCGCTCGAACAACCTTAGGTAACGAGAGTTGATATAAGCTGCATTCTTTCAGAACATAAGCGAAAAATATTGCATTATAGTATTCTAAACTAAAACTATCGAAAAACACAAAATCACTTTTGTACAAATCGAGAGATTCGAACACATGAATTTAGCCTTTTGACAGTAAATTGCGAAACTAAATCCACTGTTTTGTGTCCATATTCTGTACAACGATTGAAGTTGTGCAATCGACTCGATGTTATCAGTAGTAATTATGTTCGTACGCTTTTTCTAAACAGAATTATGTAAAAGAGTTGTCTTTAGCTCATATTTAAGTAGTATTGAATCAAAGCAATTCATTACAGCTTTCTGTTTGTTACAATAAGATCATCGATGCCTTTAGATTTTAGAATCGCCTTAGACAGAAGAATATATATGTTCAATAATGTGGATAAAAATGTTAATTTTGACTTTTCAACCAACTTTAGTTAGATCACTTCGATCCCTTGTGTAAATGAGTAGTCCTATTCTGTGAACAAATTTCTTTATAATTAAAACGGAATTGAAGCCTTGAGTATCTTCACGTCGAAAGCTGAATTACAAATAAATTATATTCAAGATGATGATCAAATTGTCACACACACGTTCGTATGCACGTCATTGCAAAGTCAATTAATCATGGAATGAAGGAGTGACGAAACTCAGCAGGTAGATGTGTATAAGTCTTAATCCGACTGATGTTAATGATGATGGTCAATTCTACAAGAGTATATAATCTCACTTGTAACACTGTTTGATGCTCATTTATTTGATTCATGCAAGGAAAATGGGTGAGCACAGATGCTAGAACAAATTGCCAACACATTTTAGTGCAATAATATAATAAACGCTCTCATGCTTGAAATTACTCGTATCTCATAGTAAAACTGTTTGACCTCATGAACAAAATTTGCATAAAGTATTTTGAATTTATTATATAAACAAGTTGAAACAACATTTCGAAGCCTCAATACTAATAAAACAAAACATGAGTTTGGTCTAATGTGACAAATTATTGTTAGTACTATGCGTGTCTTCTGTTGCCAAAAATGATTAAAAGGGCACAGTGTGCATTTTTCTAATAGCAAGCGGACATCAGATTTTTTTGCTCATAAATCGATTTTTTCATAGATATGTATCGTTCTTTAGTCATCTGCGATGCTTTAAAGAATAATTGATTTTTGCAGATTCATGGAAAGAAATTTATTCGATTCAAAACGTATCGTGTTATACATGATTCGATCTAGTCTTGCGAGTTGATTTTGAATATCGCCTTACTTTTCAAT